ATTAAGTCTCATCCTTTTTATTGACTATTTCTAAGTGCTCCAAAAATCCTTATTTGTCTAGCTTTTTTTCTTTAACATCAATTCTTAGGAATTTGCTTCCTTTATCATGATTTCCTAATTCATATAATATTATTTTGCTCTACAAATTTCTTCTTTTCTCTTTCAGTAAGTTTCAACTCTAATAGTAGTTGCTTGTAGCCTTGTTGGAAGTGAAAATAATAAAAAAAGAAAGTGTGTTTTAAATTCCTTAGCCTAAAAAACATTAAAAATGACAAATGTTATTAGGCCTGTTTTGGAGAAAGAAAAAATATCTGCTTTGAAAAATGGAGATTTTGGCAGCCATTTTGATAAAAATGGTCGTGATCCAATATAAAAACTGTGAATAGGCCAAAAATTTCTCAGTAATCGAGTTCAGTCTTTCAAATGGTCTCAGAATTCATCAAATAGCACTCATTCTAGAAAAATTTTTGCCATGTACCCTACCCTTATAAATAAATATATAAATTTTATATAGTTGTACTTATAAATTTATATAATCTCAGCAAAAAAACAAGTAATCAATGAAAATATGGCCTCTTCAAAGTCTTAGCGCCTGGTTAAGAAATCACCTATTGAACCCACCTTCTGTCGAGCCTGCTTTCCATGCTATCTGTATTGAATATTTATTTTTTTGAATTTAAAATTGTCAATTGATTTACATAGAATTTAAAAACCAATTGTCTCTTTAGTTTGGCTTTCTTTTCTCTAGTCCAGGATCTGTGATGACCAGAAAAACATTATTCTTGACATCACACATACTGGAATGTCATTGATTTTTTTGTTTGTTTACATAATCGATCTTATACAAAAAACAAAAAAATCAATGACTCCATGTACTGAAACTCTTAGGAGCAAAACGGGCTTGGATAAATTATCAAATCTGTAGATTGCAATGTATATTATGCTGACTTTTTAGCCTACAACAAAACGGAGAATACAAGCTTCAACTAAAATAAAAAAGGTATGCATTTATTATTTTGATATGCATTTATTATTTTGTTTTAATCAAAAAAATTTTGCCCAAAAATTATTTTTTATCATTCTCTTTAATATGAACATAACATGTCTTGGAGGTTAGCAAACCTATTAAGCAGCAAATTTGTAAAAAACAATTGAAAAATTATTAAATTTAAATCTAAAGCTATTTTTAACCATGACTATATCAATAGAAAATTCGAAAAAAAATTAACTTGTTATATAATATTGAGGTGTGAAATAACGGTTTTAATTCAGCTTAGAAATAAAAAAAAAAAATCTTTTATGTAAGGTGAATAACTTGTTGTTTTGGTTTTTAAGCATGACTGAATGGACATGTCCCACGACATTCAGTTAACATAAGTATGTTGATCCAAAAATAGAGAAAAGTTTCAAGGCAAATTTTTGCAAATGATAGAGATGCTAAAATGTTTCAAACATAAAACAACATAATTTTATAAACAGAATAGACAGTTCCAACAATCAATCTTCTAAACTGGATAAAAGCCTTCTTAACAAACCGCAAGCAACGTGTTATACTTGGAGAATCAAAATCTGACTGGATTGATGTAACTAGCGGGGTTCCCCAAGGTTCTGTGTTAGGACCAACGCTTTTTGTCATATTTGTTAATGACCTGCAAATTCAAGTCAAATCAACCATTTACAAAATGTATGCAGATGACACAAAGCTCATGAAAGTTGTTGAAAATGATGAAGACCGAGCAGGTTTACAATCCGATCTAGACAAGATTGTTAAATGGACGCAAACCTGGCTAATGGAGTTAAATGTAAAAAAATGCAAATTTATGCATGTAAACTATAGAACAATAAAATTTGATTACATTATGAATGAAATCAAAAATGACAGTACAACCAATAGAGTAGTTTTAGAAGTCACAAATTCAGAAAAAGATCTCGGAATTCTAATCTCCGAGAATCTTAAATATGCTCAACAGTGCAATATAGCTGCAAACAAAGCAAATAATATGTTTGGAATTCTTAATCACACGTTTGTATCAAGAGACATTGACATTTGAAAAAAAATTTATACTGCATATATAAGACCACATCTGAAGTTTGCCATACAAGCCTGGAGCCCTTACCTTGATAGTGACATAAAAAAAATTGAAAAGGTACAACGCAACGCCACGAAAGTTCCTCATGCTTTAAAAAATAAAGACTACAAAACTCAATGTAAAATCATGAAATTAACTAATCTTGAAGACAGATGGAAAAGAGGCGATCTTATTCAAAAATATAAGCTTCTCAACAATTTAAACCTAATTAATTGGCACATAATGCCTGGCAGCATAGCACCCAGAGCTCAACATCGAATCAGATTTCATCTAGAGATTGTCAGGAACTGCGAAATTAGACATAAGTTTTTTAACAACCGTGTAGTTAATGACTGGAATGCTTTGCCAGATAATGTCATCGAGGCAACATCAGTTGATAAATTTAAACAACTACTAGACAGTTTTCAGTCATCATAGTTGCTACAGCTCATCATTTAATTAAATTTGATATTAAATTAAAAAAAAAATTTCATGTAAAAAATTATTTTCCTCAACATTTGCATAAATGAATAAAAATATGCTAATTTAAAAAAAAAAATTTAACATTTTTTTTAATCATTAAAAAAAATTGCAACTAAATAAAGATTTTTTATATAAGTAACATAAAAAAATTACTTTAATTTATCTACTTTTATTTATTAGAAGTTTATTATTTTATAAACGATTTTGTTGTGAAAGCAAAGATTATTTTTCCAAACAACATTTATTAAAAAATAATTGCTGCGATATAACTTGCCATAAAAAAAAAGTTTAACTTACATTTTGCGCAAATTTTTGATGCAGCTATTTATTTAAAATTTAATTTTGAGTAATAAAAAAATGTTTTGAAAAGAAAACCAAAAAAACAATTGCGATAAAAATGAGCTAATTTTATTTTAAGAACAAATTAAATTCAAACATTGAATAATATTTAGTAATATTTAAAAAAAAAATACGACAGTTAAGTTAAACCCAAGCATTGACTTTAATTTAAATAAACTTAGATATATTTTTTAAATCAAAATTTAATTATATATTTTTTAAATCTAAATTAAATTAATTTTTTTTTATCAGAATAAAGTTATATATTTCTGTTAAATTAGTTTTGAATTAAATTATTTTTTTTTTTATCAGAAATAAATTACATTATAATGATCTTTGCTTCAAGCTTAAAGCATGAGCGTTTTTCAAGCGAAAAAATAGATCATAACAAAAAAAAAAAAAAAATTAAGTAGAAATTATTAATTACTATAGAAATAGAAATTCAAGTAAATTTTTTAAATGCAATCAAAAGTTGCATAAACAATTCTTGTCCTCTTAAGATGATAAATAAAAGTTATTATTATATATATTTCTTTTATGTTTTCTTTTATTTTTTTAATAACTTTGCATTAAAAAAAAAAAAAATAATTGTTACTATAAAACAATTTTGTTTTCTGTTTGATAAAATAATTAGCTTAATAGAGATTAAGTTTTTATAGTTTTTAATTTTTTTTAATTAGTAAATCGCGCTTTTAGTTTTTTACATTAGTAAATAGCGCTTACATCTAACATAATTGTCATTCAAATTTTTTTTACATAATCGTCAAAGTGCCCTTTTATAAAATTAATTAATTCTTTCATCTTACCACTTAATAGAGTAATTTAAAAGTTAAAAAAATATCAAAAGTTACTTCATGATTATTGCTCTAGGCATATGCAATTCATACTTTAATTGCCGGCAGCTTAACACTTTAAAACAAGCTCTGGCATTGTACAGTTATTATAAAATAATTCTTGACTCTTTGTAAGTATTTATATAGTTTATTTATAACTATAGCATAAATAAACAGATTTTGTTCCCAACTAGTTAATAATAAGAGATGCCATATTTTGGCATCTCTTATTATTAAATAACTTTCTTAATTAAATATAAAAATTTTTATTATTAACTCAATTCGATCAAAACTAAAAAAAATGGGAAAGGGATGAGGAATAATTTTTTTTAAACTTATCCAAAAAAATTTCTGTACACACTCTGGTTGGAATATATTGTTTGACAAAAACAGTTCATTTTTAGTTCACTCATTTTTAGTTCACTCATTTTTAAATTTTTTTATTTTCTTCTTTAATTTTTTTTTCTTTTGCTTATGTTTAAATAAAAGTTTAAATCTTTTTTTTGTAAATAAATTCTTAATAAATTTTTTTAATACAATCAATTTTAAGTTGCTGATGTAAGTTGAGTTTCAAAAAAATCTTTATTATTAAAACTAAAATTGAATAATTACATTTTAAAATGAAATAAGCCAATGATGAAATTATTTTAATAAATATCCAAGAGCTACACGATAAAGCTCACAAAACCACTTGTGGCTAGCAAAACTACAGGTTTATGACTCCTGGTATAACAGAAGTAACAATTTTAACAATATTTATATTTTAATCTAACAATATAACAAAAGTGTAGTTCATTTTGGTTTAAGCGAACAGTACAAATTTAAACAATCATGACATTATTAATACAAATAATCTCAATGTATTCAAGTAATATTTTGGTATGAGGAAGTACAGCCTTTAAGAAAAAAAATAAATATATTTTTTAAATTATTTAACAAATAAAATTATATAATTTAATTTAATTGACCAAATCATGAGCTACCTAGCCAAAACGTGTATTATTGTATAGAAACAATCAAAAACAAAAAATATTGATCATAGTTGTCATAGAACAATTAAGTTATTGTTCTTGGAGTATAATAATGAAGTACAGTACTTCAGATCTGTTTTCAGTTGTTACAAGTAACATTATTAAGTTTTCACTTAATAATGTTCCTCTGTAATTAACCAAGATGTTTAAGCTCACAAACATAATCTATTCATTAACATTTATAATAGCTCGTAGCTTTTTATTATTAAAAAAAATCTGTGTTTATAACAAACTGCTTATTTTACTTGATACCATTCTGATAATCCCATATTCTTTGGACACCAACCCTGTTTATTATTTAGTCTTCCCACACTTGGAATGAAAAATTGATCTTTATGTGATGAAGCTGTAAGTTGTTTGACTTTTATGTAACCATTTCTCATTCCAAGAGGTGTTCGATGTGTACAATCTTAAAATAAAATTTAAAATTAGATTTTATTACTAAAATAGTAAAATATTTTACATTATGTACACATACATGATAAAATAGAAATCATCAAGCTTTAGTTTTCAAAAAATATATATAAGTTTCAAAAAATATATGAGTTTCAAAAAATATATATGAGTTTCAAAAAATATATATGAGTTGATCAACTATTGTATGCAAAACAAATTTAAAACAAAAAGCTTTACTAATGATTTAAAACACTTTAAAAGTCTGACATTCTTGCTGAAAATTATCCCTAAATGTCTACAAGAAAAATATCCCTAAATGTCTATAATAAAGGTCTGTAACTTTATCTTACTTACTATCAAAAAGATGAGGCAATCAAAAAATATTTTGAACTTTGCAAACTAATTCAACTTGGAGAGAAACCGAAAAATGGATTTGTTTTCTACAAACCATGTGCCTTTTACAAAGATCATTAGATATTTTTCAAACACAACTTACAATACTTGTAAATAGTGTTTATGCAATTTTGTTTAACTTGAACTATTTAGACAACTTATATATCTGATTTAAGTAAAAAACCCACTTTCTAGCATAATCTCAAAAATCGCTCCAATCAATAAATTGAATTAGATTAAAAACTTCACCATCTTTAAGAATCAAATAATAAAAAAACATACATGGTATCTCAAAATCAAAATTGTCTTTTCTCAAACACCATCAAAGACAATAATAGATATTACAAAAAGCTCATTAAATCAGTCAATTTTCAACACTGGAACTTGAAAAACCTGTTGCGCCTGAATATTTAAAAGTCTTATTACAAATAAGGAAAAGATCTTTTGCATTTTTAATCTTCTCTCTTTTCCTTACCCACTTTTTAAGCTTATAGAAAATTAACAACCTTACATGGCTCTCTCAAACAAAAATGAATGAGAAAATAAATACACAAATGAAATAGCAGAAAGATTTATTGCAATGATGACATATGAAAAGATTATCACATAAGAAGAACACCAATCAATTTTGCAGCTTATGAAAGAATATTGAAATTTCATCCATTAGGCTGACACAGATGTATTTATAATACATTGTTTCCAGTTTAGGTTATTAAATTCCTCAATCTTTTAGACTCAATGCATGAGTTTTGCTTTTGTCTTTGTTTAAATGACAAAACAACTCATTCTATTATTTCCTAATGAGGGTACAGCTCTAAAACTCAGTTCTATGGTTCTGAGGCCGGCTGGTAGTCAGGTTTTCCAAACTCTCTGGTAACTGTCAGAGAGGCTGATTCCATCAACAGCTGTAAAATATCAGAGTATTAACAGTGCCATCTTGCGTATGGATGGTGTCCCTGTTTGTACTTTTAAATTGCATTGTGGAGGTCACAATTGCGGTAGTGGTGTAGTGGTAGAGCGCTTGCTTCATAAACGAGTGGTTCCGAGTTCAATCCCCACCACGTCCCTGGTAGTACCGCGCTCAACTCGTTTCTCCGCGCAGCGGCCTTGTTCGTCAAGGTTCGTGTTTCGGAGTTATAGAGTTGAGAGAGGGCTATAGCCACAAAATAAGTAGCCTCCTTGTCTGTAGTGGCCTTCTCGGCCTTGAGGAGGTGAAGTAAAATTAAAAAAAAAAAAAAAACATTTGGAGCCCTTTTTTATAACTTGGGGTTTATTAATAGTATTAAGGAAATTGCTTTGACTATTAAATAGTGTATTGAGTTTTATCTATGAGTCAAATTCTTTAACAAATTTAAAAATGACTAAAGTACCAAAAACTATAAAACATAAAAAACCATCATCGCCCTTAAGTTCTCTAAACCTATCATCTACTAATACTTGTGGTCTTCAAAGTAACTTTTCCTCCCTTGAGTCTTATATCTTGCAAAGTTCATCAGATCTACTTGCTCATTGTGAGACTAATTTGAGTTCAGCTGTCTCATTTTGTGATCTTAGTGGTTATTTTTCTTTAACTTTATAAGACTCCAATAGTCACGTACTTGGTCTGGTGATTTACATTCCTAAGAATTCACCCATTTGTCAAGAAACTAAGTTTGAATCCACATACTATTTTTTTATGTGCTTTTAGCACCACTTCACTCTATCACCATTCTCTTTGTTCAATATTGCTTTTGTTCATCTCAAGACTGCACTCTTTTCAATGTTATTTCTGATCAAATTGGCCAAGCCCTCTCTCTTTATCCATCAGCCAATATTTTTGTTGTTGGTGACTTCAATGGTCATTACATTGAATGTCTTGGCTTCAGTGTAAGTGACACTGCAAGCATTAAGGCCAACAACTTTTGCCTTTCTCAATCTCTAACTCAAATAGTAAACTATTTAAATCGCTTTCTTGACAACCAGAATCATTTACCTTCTCTACTCAACTTAAATTTTGTACCTGATTCTGGTCAATGATCAACTTCTCCACATTCACCCTAAGCTTCTGATCTGGTGCTTCTGATATCTCTCTAACATTCACCCTAAGGTGATCTCCACGTTCACCCTAAGGTGCTTCTGATGGTTTGATCTCTCTAAAGCTATTAGAGAAATCCAACTGTGATAAAAAAACGATGATAGAGGGATTCTTCTTCAAAATCAGTTCCTCAAGGTTCTATACTTAGCCCTATATCTGGACTATTGTTAATTTACATTAACAATCTTATAGGTGTTTTCACATCTAAGGTGGCATTGTTCTCTGATGATACTCCCATTTATTCTTGTCTTGATAAAAAGCCAACACCTTCTGCTTGCTTGGAGTGGGTATTTAAACTTGAAAAGGATCTCACTTCTGCTATAGCATAGGAATTTTTTTCAGTTAATCATTATCACAATAATTTAGATCTTCCTATATTTATGAAAGGCAATTTACTTGATGAGTCATCTGAGACCCTTCATCATCTAGAATTATTTCTTACTTGAACTCTTTTTAGGAAACTATATATCAAATCCATTGCAAAATTAGCATCTGCTAAGGTTGCATCTCTTTATGGCACTCAATACTTTCTTACTCTGGATTCTATTCTTTATAAATCTCAAACTTGTCTATGTATAGAATACTATAATATAATTAAAAAAAAACTTAAAAAAAAAAATAACCATATGACTTAAAACAAAGGTGTATCACAGTTTTATTAAAAAACTAATAATATCATTATTATCACTAAAAAAGCTCTAGTGGTTTGACCAACTTTGTCAAAATGCCCCTTCTTGCAGTTGTGTAAAGTGCCAATATTCTAACATTTCTATATATATATCAAACTCTTATAATAATATACTGTCTCTGTAATGATTTCCCAGAAACTCTACAAATTATTGTAATGGCTTCTTCACCATGGGACTGTAATGGCTTCTTCATTCTACAGAATAAAATTTCTTTTTATAGTTTCCAAGAAGGTAATATTTACAGGGAGCCTGATGAACATAATCGGTGTTCAAAAAAAATTTATATTTTGATATTAAGTAGATTTTTCTTATTAACCAGAGTTTTTTATGCATCTAAAGGTTGCATATTATTTAAAGTTGAATACTTTACCTATTTCAAGATATACAAAATTCCTTATGTATCTCAAAAAATGTTTCTATAACTTTTTTTGCAAATAGTCCTGATTTTCTTGGTTGTAAAGATGAACAACTAGCTTTAATCTACTGCAAACATTCTTGTTTCAGTTTAGGATCTTGATGATTGAGCCAAGTCTTACTTATGCACAGTAGACCAGAATAATTATTAACTGGAAAAAATAAATAACTTCTGAAATATTTATAAGATTATATCTATAATTACCAGATTGTGTATTTTTGATACAATGAAGTTAGTGGTACTATTAGATTGTTCATTTATTTGCTAAATACACTTAAAATGTCTTGCAACATTTTTTTTTGGTTAGTTACCAAGTTTAAAAGACTTTCGCAAAAAAAGTTAGAAACTAAACGGATATTAACATTGAAGGCTGACTGAAAATTATTTTATATACTTCAATGATTAGAGCTATAGCCTAATACTAAAAAATTAAGTACTACCAGGGATGTGGTAGGGATCGAACTTATGAGGTGAGTCTTTATAAAAATTTACTGCATTACTCTACAAATCTCTTATTCATCCCTGTGTGGAATATTGTTGTCATATTAGGGCTGGTTTTTCTAATAATGCTCTTTCTCTTCTAGACAAGGTCTAAAAATGCATTTTGTAAATGTAGTTAGACCCACTCTGTCTGAGATTCTAAAGTCTCTTTCTCGTTGTCATAAAACTTTATCTCTTTCTCTTTTCTACAAATATACTTATAAAGGGACTTCTCGCTTATGAGGGGAGCACTCTAACACTACACCACTACCGCACAAATAATTAACTAAATATTGTTATAAAAAACAAAAATTTATTATTTTTTACATTTTTGAAAAAAAACCAATTCACATAAAAATTAATGAAGTTGTTGATTGTTCAACAACAGTAACAAGAAAAAAGATGATTTTAAAAGTTGTGTCACTTCTGGATCAAATGGTTTCTTTTTGCTTAATATTTTTATCTGAAACTACTGATAAGTAGATCTGTACTATGAAGAAACCATGTTAACACATCCATATTAGTTTTTTTTCAGGAACATTTACCTGAAAAATGCTCTCGAAACTTCTGAAAAATTCTTGTTGCGTTGTGAAAATTTTCTCAAAAATTCTGAAAATTCTTTCAAAAAGTATTTCAATAAAATTCATTGTACTTCATTGTAAATTTCATGTCTGTGTTTTAAAACACAACTTAAACCTTCTCCTAGTATTTCAATCATTCAACATACATTAACCACTCGATCTTGGGACATTAATAACAAGTTAAAGTTGTTACTTTATTGTCTTCTTGTACTCAGTTTATATGATATGTGCAGGAAGTACATACAAGCTGGGTATTAAAAAACATCAAGCTATATCCATAAAGGATAAAAATTCTGTTTCATTAAAAAGAAACTTTTAGATCTTGTATTAGTGGTAGTAAAAGAGTTTAAAAGGTTTTTGAAGAAATAAAAGTTTTTTTTT